AAAGTATAATATAACGATATTTATTTCAACAAACAAATAATCAATAAAATGTGGCTAGCAATGTTTAAAATTTTGGTTTTAAGTAATTAGGATATTGGAGAATATTTTAAGGATAATATGCTGTGTCTGAAAACATTTGGAAGTGATTTGGAGTTACAAAATATTATTTGCATTATTATAATACATTAAGACTGTCTACTCATTAACATTCTCTAATATAAGGTCTGTTGTCTTAAAATGTATGAATAGTACTTAACAGGTGCCAAATAACTGACCCTTTAATCATCTTTGGTTGTAATCTTCTCTTTATTTATAATTACTTTCCAATTATTTATTTTTGAGACATTTTTAAAGAGGATGATTTGGGGAAAAGTACATCTAAAACAGGTAAACGTGATTTAAAAAAATACATATTTGATGGTTATAATGGCATATGGAGTGAAGTTTCAGTGAAAAATCTCATGAATGACTATTATAATTCAGTTTATCATTAAAGAGTAAATATGGTTTATATAGAGAGAAAATAGAAAAGAAGTAAATTTATAGAGTTAGAACTAATGTTTTATAGCAATATAAACAGTAAGCAGCATGAGTGGTAAATACTTATATCATATGAATAAATGATTTGGTGAGACTAATCTCTCTTTTTTATGTTTGATTTCTTAATCTAACAGAGGATATTTAGGACAGTTTTTAAGTTTCACGAACAAGTAAAATAAAATTAATATATTATAGATCATGTGAAGCTGAAGTGTAAAGAAAATAGGGTTCTAATTGAATGTCTTGAGATAGGCCTACAAAATGTTTCCAGTTGCAGCTGTAAATAAATGAACAAAAAAGCAGGCATGTTTAAATAAATATAAATAAATAAATGAACAAAAAAGCAGAAAGAAATGTACATCAGGATCCTATTACTTAAAAATCTATAATTTCATTAAGCAATTAGGGAACAATAAAAAGAGAAAAGGTAATTATTTATGGTCCCTATTCTATATAACAAATATTTAACATAAATTAACTTGTTTAGTTCTTAGAACAAACCTGTAAATTACATGTTGTCATTTTCATTTTACTAATACATAAACATGAAATATAGAGAAATTAAGTAATGAAGACAAACTTTAATCCTTTATCTAACACTATTCCAGGTACTTGAACATCAATGAACAAAAACATATTTTTAATTCACCTTACATTTTAGCCAGGAAAAAGAGAAAACAAGCACATGAATAAATTGTATAATATTTTAGAACATAAGTACTATGAAAAAAAGAAAGAAAATGCACATAAGAGGGGATCAGAAATCCTTGGATGGTGGGAGTTTGCACTTTTAAACAATATTTGCTAAATCTTCTTGGGAGGGTGACATCTGAGAAAAAAATCCAAGTTAGGGAGTTAGACACGGGGCTCTGTGGGAGAGGGCATGTCAGGCAGAGGAAATAGCTGGAATGAATAAGGTGGGATCCTGCTACGTGGGTATGTCAGAGAAGCAGCAATTTGGCTGGAGCATAGGGCGCAAGAGGCAGAGTGAAGGCGGGAACAAGGCAGAGTTATTGGGAGGGGAGAGCATAACAATTGGGACCATGTAGATCATTATGAGCATTGAGTTACTAATGTTTGGGAGCAGAGTATCTGGTAAAGCTTGTAGAACGTGATTATACAGTCTCCCAATAATGATGGTTTGACTTATGATTTTTTCCTCTTTATAATGATATAAAAGCAATATGCATTGAGCTGCAACTGTACTTTGAATTTTGAGCTTTGAGCTTTTCTGGACTAGCAACATGCCTTGTGATATTATTTATGATGCTGGACAGTAGCAATGACCCCCAGTTCTCAGCCAGCCACAAAACCATAAGGATAAACAATCAATGCTCAACTGTTTACTGTGTTCCCAGTGTTTTTTTTTTTTTTACAAGTTTTGTTTTTTGTGTGTGTTTGTTTGATTTTTTCTTTCCCATCATGTCCACTAAACATTCATCTATGTCTCCCACTTCTGAAGAGGCAATTACTGTATACAAGCAGTGCTCCCTTCTCCCCATATGATATAGTTTGAAAATGTGCTAGTGCCGTCGTCGGCAAACTGCGGCTCTCAAGTGATATGCGGCTCTTTTGGCCCCTTGAGTGTGGCTCTTCCACAAAATACCATGGCCTGGGCGAATAGATTTTGAAGAAGTGGCGTTAGAAGAAGTTTAAGTTTAAAAAATTTGGCTCTCAAAAGAAATTTCAATCGTTGTACTGTTGATATTTGGCTCTGTTGACTAATGACTTTGCCGACCACTGTATTAGTGGATACATCTGTAGGTCCAGGACACAGTGCTAAGTGATGCTCACCTGAGCCCAAGCTTTCTTAATGAAAAACAAAAAAAACAACCATTAGGCATACAGTCAAGTGCTAATAGGAAAGCTGTTTGTTATCTAAGAACTCCATAGCCAAATGAAGGACCACTTTGGACACAAGGAGCACAAGGAACCCTTGGCTAGAGAAAGCCAAAATCAGATCTGGCTCAGAAGTGTAAAATCAGACTTGGAGTCTCTGGAACATTCCATTCAAGGAAATCCCTTAAAACAGCTGAGCTTCATTTTCTTCATTTGCAAAATGGGAATGAAGACATAAAACTTGCCCAAGAATGGATGCTGTGAGGATGGAATGAGAGAACGCAGTGGACGGTTTTCGGAAAAAACTATCAAGTTCTGTGCACCTGTTAATTAGTTAACAAATGCTGAAACAGCATCTGCAAGATTATGTGGATTTAGTCATTTTGATCAATTTTAGGAAGATCAAGCTTTTGGAGATTAGAAATAAAACTCGGAGATTAGGTGAGATGCCAGGAGTCTGGGCAAATGATGAAATCACAGAAACTGTAGGTTATCCCATTGGGTCCCAGAAGGTCATTTGCTCCTGGAGAGGTTGTCCTTACCCGACCCTCGCCCTCATCATCTTGATCCCTAAAACGTGTGTGTGTGTGTGTGTGTGTGTGTGTGTGTGTGTGTGTGTGTGTGTGTGTAGGGCGGGGGGGGGCTGTATTTCTGCTCCAAAACCCTTTCCATGCCTCTGGATCCGGATACCTCTTCCCGCCCCGCCCCTGCCCCTCCGCGGCCCCCGGTCCCCGGCTCCCGGCTCCCGGTCCCTGCGGCGGCCCGGAGGCGCTGCGGACACCGGCCCCGCGCACCACGGCGCAGGCTCCGCACGGAGCAGGCGCAGCAGCGGAGCTCGGCGGCGGCGCGGGCGGCGGGACCAGCTCCCCGCTCCCCGCTCCGCGCTCCCCGCTCCGCGCTCCCCGCTCCCCGCTCCCCGCTCCGCGCCCGGCTCCCCGGCAGCCAGCGCCGTCTGGGCCCCGTGCCGCCGGGTCCTGGCCTGGCGGCTGGAGGCGGGGGCGCCTTGGGTACGTGTCCGCGGGCTCCACTGCGGCAGGAAGGGCTGGGGAGGACGGTGTGGGAGGACGGGGCAGGGGGAGGAGGCGGGGGCCGGGGGACAGGGTACGAGCCTCTGCGGAAAGCCAGGGTCCAGGGCGGCGGGGCGCTGGGCACTGCGGCGGGCGGGGAGGAGCGAGCACTGGGGGCGCGGGTGGCGGGCCGCGGGCCACCGATGCGCTGTCCGCGGACTGGCTGGGGATGGAGGGATGCGGGGGCCCGGCCGGGGTCACTAGAGAACGCACTTTGTGGGGAGGGCGCCCGGCGTGGTGTGGCTGAAGGTCCCTCAGGCACTGCAGCTGTCTGTCCCCTGTGCAAGGTTGGAGGTGAAGGCGGAGAACATAGAGCTTACTGAAACCGTTAGGCGGCTCTTGGCTTCTCTTGGGGAAGGACGCGGAGGGGGCGGGCGAAGTACCTGCTGCAGTGGGCCAAGGTGTCTGCAAGTGGATGCCGTGGGAGGGTGGGGGCAGGGAGCGGCCAGTGCTGTGAGTTGACAGAGAGCCTTCTGCTCTGGCCATTTGTTGGCCTGACAAGCACCCTCGCTTATCTTCGTTAGAAAGGACCTGGCTTGCTGAAGGGTGGTGCAATGGATAAAAGTGGGGAAGTAATTACTGGGGGGAAAGAAAGGGAGATGAAAAATATGACCTGGGAGAAGCACATTTGTAAGTGTCAGGGGGTAATTAAGTTAATGTTGAAGCATCTGATAGGTCTCCCACTCTGCAATGAAGATGCAACAATGCAGAAGAGGTTTAAATATTCCAGAAGCTTAAAGTGTTTGTTTGTTTGTTTGTTTTGCATCAGACATTGGCAAGAATATCATTCTCATTTCAGCATGGAAAATGTTATTAAAATATGGCTAGGGAGAGAATCTAACTGAACTTGCTACTTGATTTTATATAATGTTACCTAGAATTTCTGCAGTCAGAAATCATCTTTGGGTAATATTAGTACCAAGCAAGGAGAAAAGCAAAAAAACCTAATTTAAATCCATCTACATCTTTTTAGGGGGTAGAAGCTTGCAAAAACTGCATTTAAAGGATGAAAGTCTTTAATAATAATTTTTTATTTTATCTTTGGCAATTTTTAATACTTAAAATTATCTTCCCTTTAATTAGTTTTATTGTTAATGGAAAATATACATGCAAGTTTAAAATAATATAAAAATGAAAAAAGAAAACAAAGATTAATTTAAACTTGATAGCATCAGATAACCATTTTAACTCTGCGTTGAACTTCCTTCCAGATATATCTCTAAGCAAGCATAGATTGATGTACTGTGCAAGTCAGTATTATTCTACAATTTTATATAATTATAGAATCAGAAATATTGCATGCTTTTTATTTTATTCCTCAGCAGGATTTTATTTCCTACCATTATATAAATTAACTTTTACTGCTGAATCAGCACAAAATATATAGTGACATATAACCACCTAGGAATGAACAATGAGGATTAATGTACAAATGTCTTGATTAGCAATGATTTTTACTCCTTAAATAGTCAGATAGTTAATCATTTGCTTCATACATGTAAATGTTTCTTGTTCTTTCTTATAGATCCACCTCCTGAAATATAACTTTTCAGGATGAAGTTTTTACCGGCGATTGCCTTTTTTATTTTAATTTCCTTGTGGGTTGAAGAAGCCTATTCTAAAGAGAAGTCTTCAAAGAAGGGGAAAAAGAAGCAGTATCTATGCCCATCGTACGTTCTTCATGCCTTATATTCTCATATGGAGAGATGTTATTGCATTTTTTTTAATCCAAGTAAGGTTGTTTATTGAAACACATTATCAGCAGAACCTTTCACATCAGAACATGAACTAATTGGCCAGTGTTCCCCTGTATTTAGTTAACTCCCACCTTAGTGGTCTTGTCCAAATCGATGACTGTAAATATCATTTATTTGCTGTTGACTCCTAAGCCTATGTCTGAAGAGCATCACACCCACACATTTAACATTAGAATCTGACTGTCCCTTAATGACCTCAAACTCAACTCAAACCCTGTTATCTCCTTTGGGAAGTTGTCCCAATTCTGATAGTCTGATTTAGATAAACACACTCTGTGCCTCTCTAGTACCCTAATTGTCTGTCATACTTACAATACTGTATTATAAATATAGTTTCCCCTCTAGATTGAAAGCTCTTTGAGAGCAGGGTCTTAACTGACTCAGTCACTGAAGAGCAGCATTACACACATTCACACAAATAATAAAAATTTGTTTAAAGAGTGAATAACAACTTAAAGATCATTGGCTTTTACATCTGGATTGGTGAAGGCACTTGAAAATAATTTATATGACCCCTATGGACAATATTTAGAAATATGGTCCCAATAGTAAAACTAGATGAGTTAACAACTGGGTAATTATCGATAGTAGAACATCAACCTCGCTGATGGTGACATTTTAGCCTTATTGTGTTCAACATTTTATCAGTGACTAAAATAAGAGCATACATAGGAAACTCTCATCCAGATTGAAGATAGTATGTATATCCATATATTCAGAAATGAATTTTCTGAACCATAGGGTATAAGTATATTAAACTCTAGGAGATAGAGTAGTTTTCCAGCTCTACTCCCATCATTCATGTGTGAGAGTTCCAGTAGCTCCACATAACTGTCGAAACTTGATCTTATCAGCAATCATTTGAATTTTAGCTGATATGGATATAAGATATTACATTGTGATTTTAATTTGCATCTGCCTAATGATTAACATTTCTGAGCACCTTTTCATAAGTATATTGGAGTTTTAGTTATAAGTCTTTTGCCAAGTGCTCACTTTTTAAAATTGTTTTCCCACCTTTTAAAAAGTCTGACCATTTTTTAAAATTATTGATATGTAGAAGTTCTTTATACATTCCTGAGAAAATTCTTTGTCAGATATATATATATATATATATATATATATATATATATATATATACACACACACACACACATATATATATATATATATATATATATATATATATATATATATATATATTACAGCTCTCCAATTTTTGGTATGCATTTTAAAGTAACAGTGTCTTTTGATGAACTAAAGTACTTATTTTTAATGAAGTCTGAGTCTGATTTGATTTATTAATCTTCTTTAATGCTTTTGTGTTTTATTTAAGAAATAGCTCTCCAGGTCATGAAGATAATCTGCTTTTTCCCCCTTTGATGCTTTATTGTCTTTAGTTTCATATTTAGTTCTGTAATCCATTTCAATTTATTCTTTTGGTGTATGATGTGGAATAGGGTCAAGACTCATTTTTAAAAGCAGTACATTGATTGAAAGGCCATTGTGTCTTTCAATGGCAGTTGTGAATTTGTTATAAACCAGTTGCTTGTTTCTCCATTCTGTCCCACTGGTTTATTGCTATATACTTTGTGTCAGTAATACACTTCCTAATTACTATAGCAGAATGTCTGCATGTCCTCTAGCCTTGTTCTCTAGAAGTACCGTGGCCATTTTAGGTCCTTTGTGTTTCCTTGTGAATTTTAGAGTCAGCTATTCCACTTGCATAAGTATAGACACAAAATGCTGGGATTTGTATTGACATTATTTTGTTAACCTAAAATGAGAAGCCAAAGTGAGAAGCACCATTGTTTATTTGAGGTCACAAAAGTGCAACTTGGGGGAGTGGGGATGGGGCGGGAACAGATTTAGGCAGAAACCAAAATTGTGTTCTGATTACAGAGGAAAGGACTTTTTGTAAGAAAATGAAAAAGAAAGGACTGCATAAGTAGTGGAAAGGAATTTCCATCAGTGTTTACACACTGAGTTACTTTTTAGCTCTCCATAACTGGTTACTGATTCTATCTTCAGGAGGAATGTCCATAATCCTTGTAGTTGGGATGCCTGCTTTCCTGCTATTTTACAAATAATTCTTTATAAGACAGTGTTACCTTGGCCCAGTGCAAAGGTTACTTCACCTAGTTCAACCATTCCAAAGGTTCAAGGAGCAAGACTTATAAGGAATGGCTAGTCTAGTTCTATTTTTAAATGGCTCCACTAATGTCAACTTTTCATAAAATAGACTCAATTTTATTTATAATTTATATTTAAATGTATTTTGTATATTTCTCATTAATGTGCCTCCTGGTGTTTATTATAATTCAAACTGTATAACACTGTTCAAAACTGTAGAATATTAGGTGTCAGTGTCTTTATTCTGCTCACTGATACTGCAGAGAAATTATTCTTTATCACTGCTCAGCAAAATCATATATGCTTAATGCTTAATCATCACTTGTATTTTTTCATTTTATTTTTTCCAATTTCTTTGCATTATTATACTGTCTCTGTTACTGGTTTTTAAGCTTGTTGGTGACTAAAGATGTTAACCATTTCTCATGCATTGCAAAAGAAATACCATGTTTTTTGTTATTATTTTACTCTGGTGTTTTACTTTTTGGTTGTATCAAACTTGTGTCTTAAATATAATCATGTTCTTTAAAAAAAAAAAAAAAAGTAAATCAAAGAGTAAACAAGAAAAACAACCACACATGGGGGAAAAAAAGCAAAGCAAACAAACTAATTAGGAATGAAGATATTTACCATGACATTGGAATAACCATTTTTTTATAAATGTGGCTAGCCCTGGGATAATGTGTGTGTGTGTGTGTGTGTGTGTGTGTGTGTGTGTGTGTGTACGCGCGCGCGCGCTATATCTAATATAAACCATTGCACTGAGTAGAATTCTTTAAGGAATTGGAACTAAGGTGTTTTTTGTTTTTTTTTTTAAATTCTTATCCTGTGGCCAATTACTCCATGAATCAGAGGTTGAGCTCCATCGGATGCAAGTGTTTTTGTGTGTTTTATTTGCTGGTATTTTCCCAGGACCTTAAAAAAAAATGCCTGGCGGTGGCAGACACTTGTTAAATATTTGTTGAATGAGTCATTGAATATTTATGGAATACTCATGTGTAGTATATTCAGAATTTGTAATTCTAGTTAAGTATGAATTTTGTGAGGGGGAAATAGTTCCAACTCTTGAAAATTTACATTCAAGAAACCTCTTTTCCCCCCAGAAAAAGAATGCTAACAAAATACAGGTGATAGACGTTATTAGTCATGTCAATCATTTGGTAAGTACTGTTATGATATCATCATACCTTTACAAATAGATTTTAAAATTAGTCACATTTGTTTCTGGTTGCCTTTAAGTTCTGAATTGTTTTAAAATATGGTGCAGTGAATTTTGTCTTTTATCTTCTAGGTGTTCATGTAAGAACTATTACATTTTGGCAGCTATACACGAGACTTGTTCTGCATTGTTAGCTTGACACTTTTAAGGAGGACAGGGAAACTGACTCTATTTTCCATGAGGGCATATGATCCTGCCTCTATTACCATCCCCCTCTATTCCTTTTCCTCCCTAGAGTGAATGATGGAGCTCTTCGTCATCTAAGGCTGGTTTTTTTCACCCATCATTTAGATCTCATTGACTCCTATTTTGGGGGAGGAGAGAATCTGAAATTGGGATTCACTTTTTCTCACTCAACTGCATCTTTTGTAATCCACTCAAGTTTTACACTATGGACTACAGTGTAAAAAAATGCAGTATGTCTCTGAAACTCACCTGTCTGTAGCCATTCTTTTATCTTGCTAGTTTTCATGTTAAGGGGGTAAAAATAGATTTATTATGTTAATTTGCAAAGTTGGAGTATTTAGGCGTTATATCCAATGCCAATTTGTCCTGCTGGTATTTACTTCTCTCTCAATGCCAGATTCTCCCTAGAAGAAAGCCAAAAAATTAAATTTTGTTTCCAAACAATAGCTAGGTAAATAGTTCAAGGAAACAACCATTGGTTCAGCAAAAAAAAAAAAAGCAAACTAATTTAACTGTTTGTTTTTCTAAATGAAATTGAGCTATAAATTCACTTAAAACTCACTGTATATCTATATATACAGTATGGTTTTTCTTTTTTTGAGTATTGTCACTACATGTTGTTTTTAAATTTAAACATTTTATTGTGGTATGAATACTTAATATGAGATCTGCCCTCTTAACAGATTTTTTAAATTAGATGTCACAGTGTTGTTTTCTGTAGGTTCAATATTGTACAGAAAATCTCTAGCACTTATTCATCTTTGCATCAGTGAAATTTCTGTTAATTAGCAATTCCCCATAGCCTCCTCACTCCATTAACCACCATTGTATTCTCTGATTTTATGAGTCTGACTATTTTAGAATCTTCATATAAGTAGTATCATGCAATATTTGTGCTTCTGTGACTGATTTATTTTTCTTAGCATAAGGCCCCCAGGGTTTATCCATTTTGTTGCATATGGCAGGATTTCTTTTTTAAAGGGTAAATTAGATTCCATTGTATGCATATATTGTGTTTTTTAAAAAGCCAGTTAGCTGTCAATGGACTTTTAGGTTGTTTTCACATGTGAGTGGCTATTATGAATCTCATGACCATGGCCCGGTGCAGACACAGGGAGGAACTGAGTTTTACATCCCAATTATGATGCACTGAGGGGGTAAGGTGGAGCTATGGTGAACTTTGCTTATTCCAACAACAGCTTGGTTCTCTGTAGTCCCCAGGGGAATGGCATATACTGGGCCCCATTGTTGCTCAGGAACAGGGGAAATAAAAAACAGTACCTAGGGTAGCATCTAGAAAAGCTGTGATATTATGTGTGGGGTAAGACCCTTTTCCTGCTCAGGGAGAAGCTGGGAGCTCTGGATGGTGGTGGTT